ATCATTAATCCAAATATAAAATAATCCTGGACTCAATATAAAAGTTTTTATTCATCAGCCCTGGTGACAACAAGAGCTTGATAAAATACCTTTGATTTCCCAATTGGACTCATGTTCCCCACCTCCTGGCAGATATACCAACACAAAACTGAAAAGTATCAAAACCAGGTAGACCTCAGAAGCTTCTTAATAGTAATTAACACTTTGTGCTTCAAATGTCAGTACCTAACCTCCCAAACACTGCTGCAAGTAATCAGCACAGCACACAGGAACAGGAGTGGAGCTAGAAAAGTAATTCCAACAGAATCAAGAAAAATCACAGGCTTAAGAATCTGTCAATCAAAGCCAGGCATAGTGGCGGTACACACCTATAATCTCAACAAGTTGGGACACTTAGGAAGATCCCAAGATCAAAGCCAGCCTCAGCAACTTAGCAAGGCCCTGAGCAACTTGGTGAGATCTGCTCTCAAAATTAAGAAATAAAATAAAAAGAGCTGGGGATGCGGCTCAGTGGTTGCATGCCTCTGGATTCAAACCCCAGAACCAAAAAAAAAAAGAATTTAAAGAGCAACTGGTGCATGATCTTCCTCTCTTTAAATCAAAAGTGCCACTAATACTCAGGAAGACAAGATTAAAACACTAGATTTCACTGTGCCTTTCCAATACAGCTATATCCTCCATTAAAAGTTTTGGGTTTTTTTCTTGCATTTCACCATGGGGAAAAAAATTGATGCCCAGTCCCACCATAAAGACTGATTTAACTGGTTTGCAGCCCACTTTGGACATCTGGAACATACAAAGCTCCTAGATAACTCTAACCAAAATTTCAGAACCATTGAGAAAATGGAATAACTTCAAGAAGAAACAATGACATATCCAGAATAAGACAAATATTTGTCTCTTCAGTAATAGCGTAGGAAAATGATGATTCACAATTTTATATAATCAATGCCATTTTTCCCCCTGTACTGGGGACTGAACCCAAGGGCACTTAATCATTGAGCCACATCCCTTTGTAATTTTTTGAGACAAGGTCTTCCTAAGTTGTTTAGGGCCTTGCTGAACTTCTAAAGTTTGCCTTGAACTTGTGATCCTTCTGTTTCAGGCTCCAGAGACACTGAGATTTCAGGAGTGCCTCACACCTGGCATGGACCTTAATTTGAACTAAACATAAAGACACTCAGTGAAGCCAGATGTGATGGAGCACATCTATAATCCCAGCAATTCAGGAGGCTGAGGAGGCCCTAAGAAACTTAGGGATACCCTGTCTGAAATAAAAAGGGCTGGGGATGTGGCTCAATAGTTAAGTGCCCCTGGGTTCCATCCACAGTTCAAAAAAGAAAGGATCCTTTTTTCATTGTGGTCCTAGAGATCCAATCCAGTGTCTTGTACTGTGCATGCTAAGTACATGCTCTACCACTGAATAGGCCTTTATAGAGATGCAGTCCAAACAATTTGCTTTAAAATACTCCAGCATATTAACCATTAAAATAAATGGCTATCTGAAGCCAGGCACAGTGGCACATGCCTGTTAATCCCACCTACCCAGAAAGCTTAGGCAGAAGGATTGAAAGCTTGAAGCTAGCCTGAGCTAGCAAGACCCTGGGTCAAAATTAAAATGTTTAAGGGGCTGGGGATGTAACTCAGTAACAGAATGCTTGCCTATCATGCTAAGGACCTGGGTTCAGTCCCCAGTACTGCAAAAAAAATAAACAAGAAAAAAAAATGAATGGCTATCTGGAATCTGCTTAAAAAGAACACGGTGAGGCAGAGATTAGCAGATGCAACATTTTTTGATTAATCACTAAGGCTGGATAAAGGGTACCTGGTGGTGGGTTTCTTATTTATTTGCTTATTTATTTTGTTACTAGCGACTGAACCTCAGGTGCGTCTTACCACCTAGTAACATCCCTACCTCTTTTAAGAAGTTTGCCCAGGCTGACCTCAAACTTTCAATCCTCCAGCCTCGGTCTCCTAAGTTACTGAAACTACAGGAATGTGCCACCATAGCCCACTATTCTATTTTTTTTTTATTTAATTAATACTTTATATTAAAAATGACTACCTCAAGTAGAAACCAAAGTAAACAGCAAATTGGCAACAAATTCAAATCTGTTAATGGTATATAGGGGATCATTACATTCTCATTTAGGTACATTTGAATTACTTAATTTTTAAAAAAAATATTAAAGAGCCAGGTGCAGTCATGCCTATAATCCCAGCAGCTTGGGAGGCTTGAGGCAGGAAGATGAGAGTTCCAAGACAGCCTCAGCAACTCAGCCAGGCTCTAAGCAACCCATCAAGACCCTGTCTAAACACAAAAAAGAGCTGGGGATATGGCTCTGTGGTTAAGTACCCCTGGGTTCAATCCCCAGTACCAAAAAAAAAAATAAAAATAAAAATATTAAAGAATGAAGACTTCTTATAGCCCCTGTGTTTTGGACTTCACAGCCTCCAGGACTGTGAGCCAAATAAACATGCATTATTTATTAAAAAAAAAAAAAAAAAAAGAATGAAGACTTCAGAGATCTACAACCTACACATTTTTTATAATTTTAATTTAAATTATATTAAATTTAATATATTTGATTAAAAAAAAAAAAGTACATAGGTATGCTGTCCACCACTTGGTGGGTGGGGGACAGAGATAAAAGAAGAGGATACCCTCTAATCAGTAAACCACCCAGATGAGATGAAATCTTCCAAAACCAGATAGATATTTTAAATAATTTTAAACAGAATTATATCAAGGAGGGTTTTAAGTTTTTTTTTTTTTTTTGGAAAAAAAAAAAAAACTTGTTTCTGTTTAAACTTAAACCTGTTTTTTAAAAGTAATTTTCCCAATAGTTACAGCACTATAATTATTTCACAAGTAATTTTCTTTCCAAAAGCATGATCCTAGTGTCATATCAACAATGCTTTTCTGCTTCACGGATAAAGCCATTTTACAAATTCCAACCCCCCAAAACATATATGTATAAAACATACATTTAACACTTACTGTTCATACATGCATATAACAAATCCCCTGGCTAATTCTTTTTACATTTTTTATTTTTTATCATTTATTTTTAGTTGTAATGGGACAATACTTTTATTTTTTATGTTTTGCTGAGGATGGAACTCAGTGCCCTGCGCGTGCTAGAGGAGGGCTCTACCGCTGAGCCACAACCCCAGTCCCCCCTTTTACTTTTAATACAAGAATGTTAAGATTTCACCACCTTCTGCTTAGAACCGTGATAGAAATTAAGACGTTTCTTTTTCCCCCATTATTTTCCTTACTCATGATACTGAACATGGCCTGGTAACCAAAAACATGTTTTACCCCAATATACAAATTTCCAAAAATATTTCCCAGGAAAATGTTCATTCCACCAAGGACAAAAAAATCCTTGCATTACTGTAACTGGAGAAAACCTAATTATAACTTAACAATAGAAAAAAAAATTTATAAAGTATAAATGTATTCACGTTAACAATGCTTGAAAAATAAAAAATTTACTAATTCTAAGCCTGTTTTTTATACACAGCGAGATCAACTATAAAATTAAGTAGATCAACTTCCTAAGGCATTCAAAAACTGTACTGTTCAGAACAGCAAAAGCATTGGAGTGAAATATTCACGCATCAGCAATACTTTTCTCACGTTGCAAAGAGGAAAAAAAAAAACCTTCAAGGAAACCTTTCGCCACCTTCGGAGACCAAGACTCTATTCCTAGGGAACAAGTGGTCGGAAGACCTGGGCGGGGCAGAGGAGCAGCGACCAATCAGAGCTCGCCTTACGCGCCGAGCCAAGGTAGCAGGCGATGAAAGCGCCCCACTGAGTGGCTGGCGGGCGCACGCCGCCCCCGAAGGCAGCCGCACCTGGAGGCTCGGCCCAGCCCCGAGCTCGCGGCACCCCCTCCACCGCCCCCGGAGGCCGCTTCCTGCCAAAACAAACCCCGCCGCCTCCAAAGCAAAACAAACCCTGGCCGGGGGCAGGCCCTCCGTCCCGGCCGCACGCCCAGCGCTCCGGTCGCGGAGAGCCGGGGCGAGGGCAGGGGCGGCGCAGAGGTCGCGGGCGGAAACGTCCGGTGCTCACCAATTCCTCGTAGCTCCTGTTGTGCTCGTTGCCCTCCCAGTCCAACCTCTTCGGCAACAGCTGGAAAGACACGAAACGCGCCCGCGTGACCACCGCTCCGGCGCGGGGCCGCGGGGGCGCGGGCGGGGCCCTCCCGGGGCCGGGGGCGGGACGCGCGGGTACGGCGGCACCGACCTGGTACTGCTCCAGCTCCTGCACCAGCACCTGCGGCAGAGACGCACCGTCAGTGGCGGGCCCGGCGCTCCGCCACCCCCCGCCCCCCGCGGCCGCCCGCGCTCACCTGGGCGGCTCTGCGGCACGGGCCGGCCGATAGGTACCGAGCGATGAGGAAGTACAGTTCTGCGGAGGGAAGACGGGAGTCGGTCAGGGCGGCGCGGGGCGCGGGGCCCGGGGGTCGCGGCGCCGCGTCTTACCCGACTCGATGAGCGGCACCGGACGTCGGGCGGGCGCGGGCTCCGCCATGGCCGGGCGCGGGGCGGGGAGCGAGCGGGCTTGCGAAGCGTGTAGGCCGCGCCGAGGCCTCACCGCGCCGGCGTCCCCTCTCCTCAGGCGCGCGCCGCCGCCGCCATGCCGTGCGCGCCGCCAGCGCCCGACGCCTCCGCGGGGGAGGAAGTAGCCCCGCCGCGGGGACGCAAAGTAGTCCCTCCGGAGGCTAAGCGACGCGAGCCTCGGGGCCGCGCCGAGGGAGCGCGCCTGCCTCTTATGACTTCCTGCGGCTGGGGGGCGCGGGCGGGGGCGGCAGGCAGGGGCCTGGACCGGGCCGGGCGGGGCGCGCGCGTGGCCCCGGATCCCTGCGCGGTGAGGCGGCACCGGCCTTTGTGCGGCGGCTGCGGCGGCGGCCCGGCTGCTGGAGGGCGGGAGCCGGGGGCGGAGGTCGGGCTGCGGGCGGACGGGCGTGGGCGGGGCGCGGGAGGGGCGGGGCTGCGCGGCAGACGCTGCCGCCCACTCTGCTGGTCGCCGCTCGGAAGGGACGAGTCACGGGCGGTCACCCGAGGCCAGCGTGTCTGCCCCCCGCCAGAGAGCCATCGCTCGAAGGACGCGAAGCTTTGCCCGACCGGGGTCCCCGAACGCTGTCCCTCTTGGCCGCAGCGCGTGGCAAACAGCTCCCAGTCTGCGTCACCACGAGCGGCGCTGCAGAAGGAAGAATCAATAAGACCCAGCCGCAGTCCCCCGCCTGCTGTCCCGCGGGGAGGTTAATAAGATGCAGCGCGCCGCGGAGGGTGTCCGCTTGGGGAGGCGGCCGGGTGGCGATGACTTAGCCGGATTCTCAAAGGACGGCTGGACGGGGGAAGGGCCGTGCAAGTAGCAGCCCGTTCCGAGGAGGAGGATCAGGAAACGGGATGGAGGATCATTTGTATCCTCTGGGAAAACACTGATAGGATTTGAGGTCCGAGAGGTGGACAAGGGCCAGGAAAGCCCTTAATTGTGCTGGGCTTCTGACCTACGTGGATTCTTGCCTTTAGCACGTTCAGTGTGCCCTTTTAGTCATTAGTACAGCAGTGAGTGTGAGTTACCATTCTGTTTCCTGCTCAGGGAGAGAACCTGCACAGTATAGGATCAGACCTGGATTCACCTGGACCGCTCCCTGGTTCCACCAGCTTTTAGTTGTGTGCCTTGAGCAAGACGCTGAATCTTTGGGTCTCAATTTTCCTCACCTGTAAACAGTAGCTAGTATTTTTGTTTACATCATAGGCCTGTGAGTTGATAGAGTTTCTAGCACATAGTAGGCACCATATTGGAGCTAACAACCCCATGCTGGGGATTGAACTCAGGCATAAGCTACCATTGCGTTATTTCCCCATCTCTTTTTTATTTTGAGACTGGTTCTCACTAAATTGCCCAGACAAGCCTGGAACTTTGATCCTCCTGCCTCAGCCTACTGAGTAACTGGGATTCCAGGCCAGTGCAACCATGCCCAGCTGACTTGTGTTATTAACATTAAGTAGCTGGAGTTCTTTTCTAACAATCCAAACATGTTCAGGGTGGTGCTTAATTAATGCAGCAAACACAATCAAATCATGGGTTAAAAAAGAAGAAAAACCACATTTTGCTATTACAAATATTTTTTAGCATATTAGGGAAAATGTGAGCAAATAACGACAAGGTTTGGGGCAAAGGTAGAAGGGACCTGTTCTTGCCTGAGCTAGAGGAAATGGGAAAGTTTGGGTCATCCAAACTACAATTTGTGGGAAAGGATTATAGGCATATGAACAACAACAGGACAAGACAAATAGCGTTTTAGTCGTCCCAGTGGCCCACGCCTGTAATCCCAGAGGCTGAAGCAGGGGGATTGTAAATTCAAAGTCAGCCTCAGCAATTTAGTGAGACCCTGTCTCTAAAATTTAAAAAAAAAAAAAAAAAAAAAAGGTGGGATGTGGCCACAAGCATCTGAATAGTGGTTATAAGGATAGGAAAAGATGGCAGTATTGAGGTGGAATGAAAAGAAAAGAGTCCTGGGCTTAGGAGTGCAGCTCAGTGTTAGCACACTTGCTTAGCATGCAAGAGGCCCTGGGTTCAGTCCCCTGTAGTGGGGGCATAATCGCAAAAGTCTAGAGTTTAGGGTTTGGTGGGTTAAAGTTGTGCCACCAACTGCAATGGGGCATTCAAGCTGTAGCTAAATTGTTAAGAAGTATAACTTCTTGGAAGAACTTGAAATTACAACTGTCCCTGTGGGACAGTGTGGTCTAATGCAACCTCCCAAAAAAATGTTACAGGAGTTTATATCCCAAATGCCTGTCGTTGTCTGGAGTGGGCAGCATTGTGTTAATGTGAGATCAGAAATGATGGCATGAATCTTTGCAAGAGCCCTGGTAGTCCTTTTACAGCTTAGTCTGACACCTGTCACAAATGCTCATCCAGGATTACACTCAAAGAGGCATAACCTCCCCATTCAACTCCCAAGTGTCAGAGACTCAGATAGGACTCATATAGGCCTACCAAGAAGAAGAAAGGGGAACACACTGTCCACCAGCAACTAGGTAATGGGTGCCTGCCGGAAGTGCCCTCCAAATAAGGCTGGACTCAGGTATGTAACTCGCATACATTTGAGTAGCAGCTGTCCTAAATGTGCATGCTAAAGTTTGTTTTTGAGTAAGTGGAAATAACTTGAAATTACATAGAGAACTAAATTATCAGAAATTTGGTTGGTAGGGACTGGGGGTATAGTTCAGTTGGTAGAGTACTTGCCTGGCATGCACAAGGCTGTGGGTTCAATCCCCAGCACCTCAAAAAAAGAAGAAAACCGGTTAGTAAACAAGGGTCAGAAAATCTTAACTGGTGATGTTAAGCTATAATATGGTCATCCCTCTCCACTATAGGGTTACATCTTAAAGGAAAAAACACTGTGATTAAGCTTTTGGCCAGCAATTCCTCTCCTAAATAAATTTATTTGTCCTGAAAGTAGCTCTTGGTTATCTACAGTGCTCACTTCAGTAGAAGCCCAGTGAGACTGAGAAAGGCCTGAGGGCACATAGCTAGTAAACAGCCCCCAGCTGAAGTCTGGGTATGACAGCCCTGCCTTAGAACACAAGCACTACAAAAGTCTTTCTCCCCTTGCTGTTTCACAAAGGAGGGAAACCAGACCTGGAAAGTAGGAGATTGACACAAGGTTGCACAGCCAGTACCTGGGAGAGCTGGAATTTGAAAATCCATGTGATAAGTACGCACATGAGCTCATGTATCACAAACAACTCTTAGTTCTGGTTCTTCTCATTTTAAGGATGAAGAAATTGAGGTTTAGAAAGTTTTTAGAAAGAATTTGCCTAAGAATGGAAAACTTAGCAACAACAACAACAAAAAAAAACAGGCCTTCCTCTTAGGACCCAAAGTTGAAGTGTGAAAAGCTTATGTGGGGGCTGGGGATGTGGCTCAAGCGGTAGCGCACTCGCCTGGCGTGTGTGCGGCCCGGGTTCGATCCTCAGCACCACATACAAAAAAAAGATGTGTCTGCCGAGAACTAAAAAAAATAAATATTTAAAAAAAAAAAAAAAGCTTATGTGGAAAATGATGCACAAACCAGTCTGGCTCCAAGGATGGTCAGAAATGAGGACTTAGGCAAAAATGTGGATTAGGGCAATTGTGAAAGACTGAAGAATGGGGTAATCCCAGCTACTCTGGAGGCTGAGGCAGGATCACAAGGTCAGGGCCAACCTGGGCAATTTAGCAAGAGCTACCATGTCTCTAAAAAGGGTAGGGTGTAGCTCAGTGGTAGAGCACTTGCCCAGCATGTGTGAGGGCCTGGGATCCAATGCCAGCACTGCAGAAAGGCAGAGATGAGCAAATCCACAAGCAGTGCAGACCTCACAAAGAAATTAGATAATTCAAAGTCTAGGCTGGGATGTAGCTCAGTGGCAAAGCATCTTCCTTGCATTCACAAAGCCCTGGGTTCAACCCCCAGTTCCAAAAAAGACCAAAGGAAAAAAAAAAAGAACCCCACCAAAGTCTAACGATGTGCTGATGTGGCCTTATGTTAGCTGAATTCAGGTTTATTCAGGAGGCACTGATGATTCTGCATCACATCAGCAGAGCTTCTAGAGACATGAAGTAGATGTGATGCTGAACCTACCTATGGAGCCTTTGTAGCACAAACAGGAGTCCGCACGTGGGGAGAAACGAGTGCACAGAAAACTCCGACCATTTCTTTCATTCAACAGAACTGAAGGCCTGCTCTGAGTTCCCCTGGGATAAGTCCCCTAGTTAACTTCCTGACAGGTTTACAGAGAACTGAGAAGGGACCATGAGGCCTCTGATCTCTGGCCTGGCCCCTTTGTCACTTGCAGATCTTGTCTCTAATTCCTGAGGCCCCTTTCCACCCGCTATGGGTGTCATCTTTCCCTCGGGATCTTTTCTCCCCTTTAAGTCTGTCCCAGCCAGCTGTCCCCTTACTGACTTGTCCCTGCCTCCCTCAGCAAATTGTTTCCACATTTATCTGCTCCCTCTCCAAATTCTGCCTCTCCCTGTCACTGGCGTCTGTCCCTGTTTGTTCCTGGCTTGCAGGCATCGGCCCATATCTGTCTCCAAGTCTTACCAGTTCTCACTTTGAAATTCTTCTCACAACACCAGGAGCACAGTGCGGTTGGAGACCATCTGGGGAATGTGGGGGCTGGGTCCAGAACTTCTGTGCTCAGATGGCAGAGTTCAGCAACCTCCGTGGCCCAGGAATAATCTTTAAAGTGAGGAGAACACTGACAGATAACATTTGTGGAATGTTTTCATGTCATGGACACTGCTAAGCCATCTGTGGTGCTCATGAGATGGCTAGAATACACAGGTTGTGAGCATTTCCAGAGGGTGCCTGTGAAGCTCTTTGATGCCTAACTCTCAACATGAAGCATTTATATGAAAATAATTTTTCCCATGCATTTCCACTTAGTTTAGGCCCTCAATCCTCAAAGCCAGTCCTGTCACTACTTTACGTGTGTGTGTCTGTGTGTGTTTACTGAAGATTAAACCCAGAGCACTTTACCATTGAGCCACATCCCCCCAGTCTTTTTACATTTTTAAATTTTTTTTTAAAGAGAGAGGTGAGAGAGAGAGAGACAGAGAATTTTTTATATTTATTTTTTAGTTTTTGGCGGACACAACATCTTTATATGTGGTGCTGAGGATCGAACCTGGGCTGCACGCATGCCAGGTGAGCGCGCTACCGCTTGAGCCACATCCCCAGCCCTATTTACATTTTTGATACAGCATCTATCTCTCTTAGTTGCTCAGGGCCTTACTAAATTGCTGAGACTGGTCTCGAACTTGTGATCCTCTGCTTCCGCCTCCCAAACTGCTGGGACTACAGCCATGCACCACCATGCCCAGCTCTTTGAAAATCTTAATGCTGTCTCCATTTTACACATGCAAGCCATCAATAATACTTCTGATGAGGCTACCTTCAAAATGTGTCTAAGGGGCTAGGGTGAAGCTGTAACTCATGGTAGAGCCCTTGCCTAGCAAGTGCAAGATCCTGAGTTCCATCCCCAACATTGCAAAGAAAAAAAGAGTGTGTGTGTGTGTCTGTGTCTAACTGCTTCTCACCACCCTGAGTACAACCTCCTACTGGTCACTCTGCTTCTACCTTTGTCCTGTTCCTATCTGTTCTCAAAAGGCAGCTGCAGGGAGCCTGTTGAAACCTAGGTCAGCTCAGTCCCTCCTCTCTCAAAATTCACCAATGGCTCCCAAGTGAGCCCAGGCCCCACAAAGAGCCCCATGATATGGCCTCTCACTCCCCAGACCCCTCTCCCACTTTTCTCCCTCTCATGCTATGCCCCAGGCACACTGGCTGTGAGGTTCCCCAGGCACATCTGGAATGCAGTTGCCTCGGGGACTTTGCACTTACTGCTCTTGCACAGGAATGCTCCGTCCCCTAGGAATCCCACGTGGTTCCGTCCCTCCCTGCTTCAAGTCTTGGCCCAAAGTTCACTTTTCAGCGAGATCTTTCCTACCTTCAATAAAACTAACCCTCCCTGTCACTCTGCATCCCCACTTCCCTTTTCTCCTTCCTGCTTTCTTTTCCTCCATAGCACCTTTGACCTCACCCACTGTAAAATTTGTTCACCTCTCACTTATTGCATATCCCCTCCCACTCTATGAAGGCAGGCCGGGGTTTGTGCCTGTTTTGCTCACCAGTACATCTCCAGAGCTGCTGTAAAGCCTGACATATAGTAGGCACATGATAGAAATGTACTGGATACTTAATGAAAATCACTCGTCTGGACAGTCCTCAAATGTGAGGTAGTCAGCTCTCAGCTTCACTCGCCAGCCTCCTGGCCACCAGAGTAGTGGTTAGATTCGAAGACAGCCCACAAAAACCTGAGCCCCCAATATACCTGGTGACCTTGCCCCACAGGAATCTCCATTGCTACCATGAAACCAGGGAGCATTTTCAGGAGCAGTAACAGAAGCTTCCTGGGAGAGAGGATTTCAGTGCTATGAGGACAGGCAGTCTGTCAGTGCATTTCCCAGGGACTGGGCCTGGCCTCCTGGCACACAACATTCCTGCCTCCTCCTGACAACCTTGCTTCACCTCCACTGCTAGCTGCCTCTTTCATAGGCTTCCAACCTCCCAGGCTCCATCACCCCAGTCTCTCCCCTAAGCAGACATAGTGCCCTCTGGTTTCCCCAGGGGCCACTGACCCTAAAGCTTAGGAGACAGGAATCTGGCCTTGTCTGCCCCAAAGGTGAGCCTTTGGAGTTGCAGTGAGGGGAGGGAGAATCCCAGCAAGTCTAAAGAGGGAAGAACAGAAGAGGGAAGGAAGAGCTAAGTGGAGAGGCTGGAGGGATCATCATGAATTGTTGCTAGAAGGCTTGTCTGTATGCTGGTGGTGACCACTGAATACTGTGGAACCTTTGAAGATGTTTATTTGAGTTTTGTTGTTGTTGTTTTTACCAGGGATTGAACCCAGGGGCACTGCTTAACCGCTGAGCCTCATCCCCAGCCCTTTAATTTTTATTTAGAGACAGGGACTTGCTGAGTTGCTTATGGCCTCACTAATTTGCTAAGGCTGACTTTGAACTTGTGATCCTGCTTGCCTTAGCCTCCCTAGACGCTGGGATGACAGGCATACACTAGGATAAGTCTCCCAGCTTATTTGAGCCTTTGATGATGTTTATTTGCAGGAATAACTCTCCACTTGGTACCTGGAGAAAGATTCCTGGTCCCTCTTTTTACTTACAGGGTACTTCTGGCCTAGAGCAGGGTAAATAAACCACAGTCTAACCCCAAATCACTTTAGTATTGAAGAACCAAACCTTCCAAAGATGTAAGATATGAATATTAGTATGAAATGAGGTTGAGATGATTTTTGACTGCAGAATCCAGAATCTCAAATATTGTCTTTAACTACCCACTTTGCAGCAAAGGTCTTCAATGGCAATACATGCATAGAAGATACTGGCTGCAGAAAGTTCTTCATCAACCTGAGCCTATTTCCTTGTGAGCTAGACTCCATGCGTAAACAATTATTTGTTCAGGTCATGCAGTCTCTGAAGACTGACCAAAACCACCCAGAAATGGCAACATCTCAACAGCTGGTATGTGCACCCCAGGCTTGAAAGCCCCATCTATGTCAAGGCTAGGACTTCTAGAGGCCTGGTTCTTGTGCCCCACATTTGTCTTTTCAGATGCATGAAAGCAAAACACTTGAGATGAACCTCTCCTCACAAAGCCCCACCTCTGCTCCGGAAGCACTAGACTTTGCATATGGTTAGATATGGGTTGGTTGGTTTTCAATAGATTTTCAAGACCGCAGAATCCAGCACATTGATCAGCCTATATATTCATATTAAACAAAGGAAATAAAAGAACAAAATTCATGCAATCAGAGGTAGCTGAGAATCATCAACAAATGGTTTTTTTCATTAACATTTTTGAGTAGGTTAATTTTTCCATACAACTTAATGATATAATTTCCTAATACAATCCTACAAGACAAGCTTTGCCAAAATCTAACCTCACGAAGGTTACACATTCCACAGAATTTAATTATAAAGCCTTTGCAAAGAACAGATTACTACAATAGAACATTTTGTTCTTTGCAGTAAATAAACAAATCAGAAACTCTGTTTCATGCTCAAAAAGAAATGAGTATACACAGACTTGCCCTGAATTACATCCTGGTCCCACAAGGCTCATGTTTTCTCATTAATATTTTCAGAATTTCAAAATACAAGTTTTTCAACATTCTTTTTTATCTCTCTAGCAAAGAGTAATGACCAGCCCACTACTTTGAGTTATCTACGATCTTACAATGTTTCAAGGATTCCAGTTGCATGGTTGTCTGAACAAAAGAGGGATGGATTGACAGGTAATTATGAATCTTCTCCAGCTGCCTAGAACACAGACAGCTACATAAGCAGGAGGCAGATAATCCACCCACTTGTTCCCAATCAAACCATTTTCCAGAGTCTCCTGAATTCTTTGCAAGACCCCCCAGGCTGTAGAATACACCACTCACTCAGGGGTAGTGATAACCAAGAGATGGGGACAAGGATAAAGGGAAGGTATCAAATGACAGGGATGATCCTGGAGCAGGACAGTATTACCCCCAGATGGGGATGGGGTGGGGTTGGCGGAGTTCTGGTTGTGTGCTGTTTCTTTTTTTGTTTTTTCTTTTTTAGTTGTAGTTGAACACAATATCTTTATTTTATTTATTTTACTTTTTTAAAATATTTTTTAGTTGTAGTTGGACACAATACCTCCATTTTATTTATTTATTTGTATGTGATGCTGAGAATCAAACCCAGCGCCTCACTTGTGCTAGGCGGGTGCTCTACCACTGAGCCACACCCCCAGCCCTGTTCTGTTTCTTAATCTGAGATGCATTCACCTGGCAGGTAGATCTCCTATAAAAGGACACCTGTGTTTGTCAATTTACACAGAAAGGGTATGCATCATTCTACCACTGTGCTTTTTCTGAGAAGCCCTTTGTCCCTTGAATGGCCTACCTCACAAAGCTTCTGCCTTCTTCCTCCCTTTCTGTCTTTGTTCTCCTCCACGCCTTTCCCTGTCTTCCCACCTCTCTTTGGTGCTGGGAATTAAACACAAGGTTTATACACTCTAAACAAGTGATCTACCACTGAGTTACAGCCCCAGCTGCTCTGCTGATTAGTAATCATCATACAATTTTTTTTTTCAATTTTGAATTTTAAAATAATTTTAAACTAAAAAAAAAAAAAGTCGATTCAAGAATAGCAGAAAGAGAGGGGCTGGGGATGTGGCTCAAGCCGTAACGTGCTCACCTGGCATGCGTGAGGCACTGGGTTCGATCCTTAGCACCACATAAAAATAAAATAAAGACATTGTGTCCACCTATAACTAAAAAATAAATATTAAAAAAGAACAGCAGAAAGAGGCCAGGTATGGTAGCCCATGTCCCTAATCTCACTGACTCAGGAGACTAAAGCAGGAGGATTGTAATTTTGAGGCCAGCTTTGGCAATTTGGCAAGCTAACCCTAACCCTCAATCTGTCTCAAAATAAAAGGTTTGGGGATGTAGCTCAGGGGTATAGCACTCTGGGTTTGATTCCCAGTATGGGGTTGGGCGGAACTAGCAGAAAGTACCCCATACCCCCAACTGTTAAAAACTCCACATGTAGTTTCAGCAGTGCTTGTGCTGAATACACTTGCATCATTTCTTCTGTGCTTCTACTGTAAAGAAGAGCTTTGGTTCTCCCCAATTTCCTTTTTGTTTGCTTGGGTGCCTGCTTTTCACTGAGTCAGGGTCCCTTAGGAACACTGCTGGGAAGTTCCTACAGTAGCTAACTAAGTGCATCCTCTGTGGTCCAGGAAGCGCACTTGGCAGCCCTGCATCCACTGCCTCTGTTCCCTAGGTGATGTGCACAGATGACACTCGCACTTGGTCCACTTTCTGTTACTGATAAAAGAATACAACAGACTGGGTTAAAAAAAAAGAAAGAAAAAAGATTGAACCCAGGGGTACTTTACCACTGAGCCACATCCCCAGCCCTTCTTTGTGTTTTATTTTGAGACAGGGTCTCAAAATAAGCCCTAAGTTGCTTAGGGCTTCAGTAAATTGTTGAGGCTCACCTGAAACTTGAATCATCCAGCCTCAGCCTCCCGAGTCAGAGTCACTGGGATTACAGGAGTGAGCCACTATTCCTGGACCAGGTAAAATATTTTTAAAACAGGTTTATTGGACTTAAGGTTCTGGAGTTCCAAAGTTGAGGAGACCCATCTGGCAAGGCCTTCTTAGTGATAGAGACTCTCCAGAGTCCCAAGGTGGCACAGGGCGTCATCTAGCAAAACAATAAGCTGCGTCTCTCTCCCTCTTCTAATAAAGCTGCTAATGCCATCCCGGGGCCTCTCCACTGACTTCTTCTAACCTTCTCTCTCAAAGGTCCCATCTCCAGATACCACAGGTGGATTAAATTTCAGCCCTCTTAATAACTCATTGCTGGGATTACAATTCAACAAGAAAGCTGGGAGGCTAGCCAGCTCCTCTGGAGGCTGGGCAAGGAGACTGGGGCCAGCCTTGGCAATTTAGCATGAACTTGTCTTAAATTAAAAAGGGCTGGGAAGTGGTTTAGTGGTAAGAATGCCCTGAGTTCAATCCCCAGTACTGGGTTGGGGTGGGGAACACCACCTCAAAATGAGGTTCTGGGGTGACAAACCATTTTCAGACTGCAGTAAGCCCCAAACTGGAATTTACCACATGCCCATCACAGGGAGATCAGTAGGAACGAAGGTGCACAGACACTTTCATGAGCAAAATAATTGAGCAAAAAAATGCTAGATCCAGAAGGGTGCATGCTGTGGCGCTCAAGGTTCAAGTGGTTCCTAGTGGTCTGCAGAGCTGGAAGCCAGGACATGAGCAACCTTCCCATGGGAGTGGAGCAAGGGTGTGTCAATAACATTCATGAAATAATATTATATTATCCAGTACTGGGGATTTGAACTAGGAGTTTTCTACTACCCACTTACATCCCCAGTCATAATAATTTTTTATTTTTTTTTGGGGGGGGGGGGTTTGGGGATTGAACTCAGGGGCACTCCACCACTGAGCCACACCCCGCCCGCCCTATTTTGTATTTTATTTAGAGACAGGGTCTCACTGAGTTGCTTAGTGCCTCACTTTTGCTGAGGCTAGCTTTGAACTCAAGATCCTCCTGCCTCAGCCTTCCAAGCCAGTAGGATTACAGGCATGGGCCACGGCACCTGGCCGTTTTTTATTTGTTATTTGTTCATTTTTATTTTGAGATAATGCTGAATTGCTGAAGCTGGCCTCAAACTTGTGCTCCTTCTGTCTCAGCCTCCTCAGTCACTGGAATTAAAGGCAGGCCCAGTTACTACTTGGCCTTTGAGACTGGGGGTGTCCTGCTGCAGGAGAAGCTAGTATCCTTTGTCAAAGAGCTAAATCACACCTAGCCAGGAAGTCAGACACCTCAGGAAATCTTGGAGAGGAAGAGGAACGAACGCAGGGAAGCTTCAGGCCAGCTGCTGGCCCAGGCCGATGTGAGCCACCTGACAAATGCGCCCTTGGTATCCACTAGTGCCAGGGCCTTGCCTTGGGATGCTGAACAGACAGCAGTCTGCTTCTTGCTTCTCTTCTGCCTTCCCAACGGTGCAGAAAGTGTGTAACCAGCTCACAAGTTGACACCTCGCAGATCCTCTACCTGGCTTATTAGCTAGGCACCTTCCTTCATCTCATTTGAAATGTGAATGACAATCACCTATGAAAGGACAGGAGAATTAAATGAAATAATGTGTTCTAGCCTAGAATATAACACTCTAATTTTGTTGAGTGAGTTGATTCCTTTACTAAATTAGATGATCAAGAATGTGCTTTTTGGGTGGACTGGAGCTGGGGCTGGGGCTCAGCGGTAGAGCGCTTGCCTAGCCTGTGCGAGGCCCTGGGTTCGATCCTCAGTGTCAGATCAGGTGAGGCAGGTAGCAACCAAAGGAGGCAGATTTAAAAAGACAGCTGAACGAGGCTTTATTTGAGACTCACTCCCAGGCGGAACTCAATCAGCCCAACAGAGTGGACAGGAGGAGGATCTGAGGAGAAACCACATGGGAACTTAACCGGACTGGACTTTTATGGGGCTCACAGCAGGAAGGGAAGGGCTTGGGACAGGAAAAGGTGTTCTTAGGGTCCCTTGTCCCATTGGAGTTGGTCAGGGGAGGTGGCTAACTCCAGGATTGGCCGGGGAGTCCTGCTGATTGACAGGCATTTCCGCAGGCACCTGATTGATGTTCCTTTCCCCATGGGCTGCTTTGTTTTAAGTTGCCACCAAGACGCCACCACCTACCTAACACTCTGCACCACATAAAAATAAATAAAAAAATAAAGGTATTGACAACTACAGCTAAAAAATAAATATTAAAAAAAAATGTGCTTTTTTGGGCTGTGGTTGTGGCTCAGTGGTAGAGCACTTGCCTGGCATGTGCAAGGCACTGGGTTCGATCTTCAGCACCACATAAAAATAAATAAATAAAATAATGCTATTGTGTCCAAAAAAAAGAATGTGCGTTTGGTTTGAACTCAACAAAGATCATTAGTCCTTTAAAATGTGAAAGGAAAGAGAGGAACCGGGAGAAATGAAAGATGGAGACCAGGCAGAGATACACAGGAGAGTTTATTTGTCAGAAATGACAAATAAAGGCACATCTCTCCCTAGATAAAGACAGGCAAGACCAGTTTGGGGTTAGGGACTTTTATGGGGCAGACTTAGGGATTAGAGCCGGGTAGGCCTTAATTCTGGCAGTTAAGGGTAGAGTTGTTAAGAGACAGTGGTGAGCCTTTCTCAGAAATGCCCTTGGGTGGGAAAGCAAAATTTTTCTTAAAATGGTGCCTGCCACTTAAGATGGCCATCCAGATGCTAAGCAAGGACTTTACAAAATGTTAAGAATAATTACATGAAAATCTAGGATCAAGTAATAAAATTATAAATCTTTTATCCATTTCTGTAGATCAAAAAGCTTGATGCTATAAGTTCCCATACTTAAATTTCATCTTCTCATAACTGCTTTTTAAAAAGCAGGTTATAGGGCCTGGGGATGTGGCTCAAGCGGTAGCGCGCTCGCCTGGCATGCGTGTGGCCCAGGTTCCATCCTAAGCACCACATACAAAGATGTTGTGTCCGCTGGTTGAGAAGTAAAAATAAATATTAAAAGAAGAAAAAATTCTCTTGGTTACACATCCACATTTAAAAAAAAAAAAAAAAGGTTACAAAGTAGAATTCAAAATGTGGTTCCATTTTTGTAAAAATTATTTTATACAAAATGGCCCCCTGATCAAACACCTGGGTTTCTCTCTGGGCTTTACCTGTGCTAGTGATATGTGCAAATTAGAAGAACACAGCAACTGTTTTATTTAATAAAAGAGGAGAGTGACAGTTCTTACCACCAGAATTTGGCATGAGTATCTACTGAGAAAATCTGAGTGACTGTTTAAAATAGAACTTGTCAGGTAGGCACTATGATGCAGGCCTGTAATCCTAATGACTTGGGAGGCTGAGGCAGGAGGACCGCAAGTTCCAGACCAGCCTCAGCAATTTAGTAAGGCACTAAGCAACTTAGATTCTCCCTCAAAATAAACAATAAAAAGTGTCCTGGGGGCTATTCCCAGTACCAAAAAAAAAAAAAAACCAACAAAGGAACCTGTCATGTGCTAACATGTGGTAAGTACACAACAAATGTTTACTTGTTGCCATTTTTTTAAGCAGTGAGTCAAAAACAACCTAGAAGTATGTACAGACATGGCTAGCCTGCTTGGTGGGAGGTCAGGTGGGTTATATTCTTTTGTGCTGTTCTGTGTCTTCAAAATTATCTACTATGTTGGTCAGTGCTCCGTCACTGAGAGAAAATCATTAACTGTAAAAGAGGAAAGGTTTCTTAGACTCATGGTTTTATTGTCCAAAGCTCGGTCCTTGTCCCCGATGCTAAATCAGTAACAAGGACACAGTTTTGAGAAAAAAGAGAAGTTTTATTGCTTTGCTAGCAAAGGAGAAGCACAGGGACTCTTGTCCAAGAGTCTGTGATTCTGCCTATCAGCAGGAGCAGGGTGGTTTTCAAGAAGTGACTCAAGGGCTACATTCCTCGTGTTGTGTTCTCTGTTGGAGTTGTAATCACTTGTTAATTTGGGAGATAAGTCACTTCTGAGATCTTCTGGTGCCATCCCTGAAGTCTGGATTACTACATTCCTATGGTGGGTGTGTGTTCAGGGACAGATAATTCTGTTTAGGGTGGGGAAGAAAGGTGACCGTCCCCCTTGAGATTAGGGAGGGGGGAGGTTAGGGAGGGAGAGAGGTTAGGGAGGGCAGGGGAGAGAGAAACACGTCCATTTTAAAAATCAGTTGCAGGAGCAGAGCAACACGGCTAAGTCAAAGGACCATTATTATTACATGCTCATATATGCTAGGCAGGCCTCATAGCCCAAGCTGCACCCTGGCCTAACAGGCTCATTCCTGACTCCATTCAAAGTCCTCATTCTACTCCTTTGTGGATGAACAAATATTTAATCACATCCTGTCTCTCTGTTCCCCAAACAAAATACTGGTCTCACCCCCTCTGTCCTTTGTTCTCTTCTTTCCATATTCTTGGCCCCCATACTCCTCCATTCCACAAGAGTGACAACCTCTGCCCTAACTCCTCTTTGGTAAATGACAAACGTTCTGAGCAGTTGTTTTGTGAAATCCAAATAAGATCAGCACAGGAACATGTTCTTCTAGCTTTTTAATATTTATTTATTTTTTAGAGAGAGAGAGAATTTTAATATTTTTTTTTCCGGCGGACACAACATCTTTGTTTGTATGTGGTGCTGAGGATCGAACCTGGGCCGCACGCACACCAGGCAAGCGCGCTACCGCTTGAGCCACATCCCCAGCCCCAAGCTCTGTCTTTTAAACGTCTGATTCCAGGGGCAAATATTTCTCCACAGCTACTCTGCAATCCAAATTTAGATACCTCAGCAAAAGAATCAACATTTTTGTAAATGCTTATTTCAAGATTCCAAATAAATGAAATGGCTATTTTAGCAAGAGCGAAGCACAGACTGACAGTGTCTTTGGGAGAGCTTTCCATGTGGCTTTGCTTTTCTCCTCCACTTAGAACTTACTTATTTACCCATTTATTTATTTTTCTGGTACTGGAAATTGAGCCCAGGGGCGCTCTACCACTTGACTACATCCCCAGCCCTTTTGTATTTTATTTTGAGACAAGGTCTTGCTGAATTGCTTAGGGCCTCACTAAGTTGCCTAGGCTGGCAGGTTGCGATCCTCCTGCCTCAGCCTCTGAGCCCCTGGGATTACAGGCATGCGCCAACATGTCCGGCTCAGCTGAAGTCATCTTGACAAACACATTCCAGCCATGTCATCACAATGGAGACAGAATATTTCAATCAGATCCTGAAAGTTCCCTGACGGGAACAGTGGTCCACTTTATACTTTGAATCAGAGACAAGGACAGAGCTTTAGGCAACTTTACCACTTTGTGGTCATCCTCTTCTTAGCCCCTGGCAGCCACTGATCTGTTCTCTGTCCTAATAATTGTGCCTTTGTAAAAACATACCATATATAGAATCATCAAATATGTAGCCTCTCATATCTGGCTTTTTTTCTCTTAGCACAATACTTCATCCATTTTGTGAATATCATCAGTTCTTTCCTTTTTATTATGGAGCAGTATTGTGTTATGTGAATGAACCACAATTTCTTTATCTATTTGCAAGTTGAGGGACACTTGGGATGTTCCCATTCTTTAATTATTTCATGACAAAGATCCCTTATACATATTTACATATATAGTTTTTTTGTTAGAAGATATATTTCCATCTAGTCATGAAATATGGGTCCACTCTTCTGGTGGTCCCAAGGAGTTTAGGTGGTTCCCAAGACACCTGAGATGTTTCCTCAGGCTTGATGATTTGCTAGAAGGACTCACAGCATTCAGAAGACCTGTCAATCTCATGTTTATGGTTTATTATAGTGAATGGTGCAGATTAACATCAGCAAAGGGAAAATCTGTCAAGTGGAGTCTGAAAGACACAAGGCTCAGGCTCCCAGCTATCCTCTCCCAGTGGAGTCTTGCAGGCAGCCCTCATTCCTCCAGATGTGGCCAACAAGGTGCCCACCTGAGTTCTCATGCCCAAGATTTTTACTGGGTGGTCTATTATGCATGCTTGCAGCATTCCTCAGATGCTAGCTCCAAAGAAGCAGCCAGTATACCTTTGCTGTCAGGAGACTCCAAGGTTTCAGGGGCTGTCTCAGAAGCTGGACCAAGGGCCAGCCATGCAGACCTGGGGAATATGGGAGAGCTGAGCAATCCTACCCTGCACTTGAGTAAGGGTCTGTTTAACTTAAAACTGCTAAACTGTTTTTCTTCCTTTTTTAAAGAAAAAAAAAAAATAGTTTCAGGGATTGAACCCAGGCACTCTTTACCTTTACCATCAAGCTGCATTCCCAGTCCTTTTTATCATCTATTGAGAGACAGGCTCTTGCTGAGGTGCCAGGCTGGCCTGCACCCCACCATCATACCATGGTGCGAGATGTCCTATGCTTTTTATGACCTTTCCTGGCCAGCACTGACCCACCTTGGTCACCTTGCCTCGCTCCAGATGGGATTCACTAGTAAGTTTTCCATGTGGTAAAATATGCAGAACATAAAATTTACCCTTTTGACCACTTTTAGCATACAATTCAGTGGCACTCAGGCTATCACTGATCTTGAAATAGTGAGATTGAAGAATTTAGCTGGCATAATTAAGATTTCTCCTGCAAATTTTATGTCTATAATATGTTTCATTTGCCACAGTTTCATTTATTTAAGAAAAGGGGCCCACAGTTGTTAGTGGAAGCTGGGTGTGGTGATGCATGCCAGCAATCCCAGGGACCCAGGAGATTGAGGCAGAAGGATTCCAAGTTTGAAACCAGTGTCAACAACTTAGTGAGGTCTTCAGCAACTTAGAACTTGTCTCATAGTAAAAAGTAAAAAAAGGCTAGGGATGTAGCTCTGTGGTAGAGTGCTCCAAGTTTCTATCCCTAATAGCAAAAAAAAAAAAAAAAAATCTTAATGGTATTTATTGAGAATGAGGATACAAGTTCTTATGTTCATGTTTTTTTCCCCCAAATGTGAACCAAACCATTAACTTACTAATGGTTAGTAACATTAAAGGTATACCAAAACATTAAAGGTTTTGGGCCTAACAATTTTTGAGGGGGGCGTTCCAGGGATTGAACTCAGGGGCACTTGACCACTAAGCCACATCCCCAGCCTTATTTTTTATTTTACAGACAGGGTATTTGTTCTTAGAGACAGGGCCTCACTGAGTTGCTTAGCGTCTCACTTTTTGCAGAGACTGGTTTTGAATTCATGATTCTCCTGTCTCAGCCTCCCAAGCTGTGCGTGCCACTGTGCCTAGCAGGACTAAGAATTTGATAATGTTAATTTCAAACTAATTTCATTTGTTAATTGTTGAGATGGTTAGACTTCTTTCAGTTTCCACCATTACAAACAATTCTGTCATTAACATTTTTGTGTCCATCTCTTTGTGCCGTTTTGGACTTCTTTAGGATAGGTGCTGGAAAATGCACTGCAAGGACATGGAAAATACTACATTTGAACTGAATAGGTACCAGCAAATTCCTCTGTTAATTCTTAAAACTTCCAAAACTGTCACCACAAGAGCCCAAGAGCTCATTTCCCAGAAGCTCTAAGAGCATGCTTGGGCAGGTAGCCTGGAGGTGCGATTCAGGCCACATCTCTGAACACCCCTTAGGTGCTGGAGCTCTGACGCCCTGAGGATGAAGAGGTGGAAAGAGCTCGCCGGACTGGCTCAGAGCCTGTGCTCCCGGAGCTGCCGCAGTCTGGCTGGGCACAATTCAGACTGCCAGCTGATGTGGAGCGGTGGCCATGGTCAGTGGCAGAGCACTTGCCTCGCCTGTGTGAGGCACTTGGGTTTGATTCTCAGCACTGCACATAAATAGATGAATAAATAAAATAAAGACCCATCAACAACTAAAAATATATGTTAAAAAAGCACTCTTGCTTTTGGAGATGTGTCCCTCTCTGGGGCATGACCCACAACACAATTCCAGCACACCCCACAATTCCAGCACGCCTGTATTCACACTGATATTACTGGGAACAACATAGCCTTTCTTGGTTCACTGGTTGTAACAAATAGTTTTCCCATCAGTAGAAGCAAACTTGTTAACTGTCTAAAAATATCATCTTCAATATAGTCCATGATAAGAGAATCCCAGAAGCTCAAAATTGTAACCATCTTTATCAGAGATAAATAAAAGCATGTTTACAAAATACAAAACTTTGCACCAGAATATTCATGAAGCTTTAGTCCTAGTAGCAAAAAAAAAAAAAAAAAAAAAGGTGGGGGGATGGCAATGGCCTGGGTGTCCAGCTGTAAAAGAACAAATTGTGGTATGTCCATACAGGAGTCCCACTCAACAATGAAAGGGAATGAACAGGGAATGTGTGCAGGAGTGTGGATGAATCTCAAAAACCTTACTCTGAAAAGAGTGCATGCTCTGATTATGTTTATATGATGCTCTAAAACAGGCAAACTGACCTATGGTGGAAAAACGAAAGCCAGTAGGAAGCGAGGACTGAATGTAAGTGGGCATGAGGACCCTCTGGGGT